ATGATGATATATTGTTCAGTTGACAAATTGTCATGACCAAACATTAGCAAGAACCTAACTCTGTTTTCACCTGGAGCAATGGTTCAATATTTGCTAGTTTGACATTTGTGGTGACTTTTGTAAAACATGATTACTGAGAAAAAATGATAATTAACCAAATAGAATATGAAATTTTATGGACATATAAACTATATACAAGTGAAAGAGCCACCATAGATAACTTCAACCATAACATCATTGTTGACATTTATTGAAAAGTTTTTGTGGCCAGAAACTAAGTATTTTACATGTTTTCTCATTTTATTAAATTTAAAAAAAATGCCACAGGATCCATGCACTTCCCAGAGAGAGGCAAGAGAGAAAGAGAGAGCAAGCATCCCAGCGAAGGATGGTCATGCTGCAATCCCTTCTGCTCTATTTCTCCTCCTTTTGTGATTGTGGGCCCACATGCACACATACTCAGAGTATTTGAGTCTGGGTCCAGGACTCAAACCACACAAGTGGTCATGTAGGATCAAGTTTCCTTAACTACATGGGTTCATTATTAACGCTCTTCAATTCTATTATTTCTCCCACTATAACTGAGGAAACTGAGGCCTAAAATCTTCTGTAAATCACAAACCTAATGAGTGGTGGATGACAGAGCAATCTGATTCCAGGGCCCTCCACCCTTAACCAACAGTTCTACCTCTTAAAATTGGCTTGTGATTTAATGAACCAAGTAATCAAACAATCAGTGTCTGGCACTGTAGTAGGCGCTAGAAACACATCTGTGACCATGATGGTCCTCGCCCTTGTGGAACCTATGCCAGCGAGGATATAGGCCAATATACACCAATTTAAAAGAAGGTCATGAGAGGAAAAATGAGATGTGAAGCAAGTTCACAGCAGGTGCACCTACTCAGAGCCAAGGGCATCAGAAAACATATCCTGGGGAAAGTAATATCTTGGCTCTACCTTTCAGGATCTATGGGGGCTTGCCAGTTAAATGGACTAAGGAGTAGCATTGTAGGCAGACAAAGTCACACGTGTAAAAATCAATGGGCAACCAATAAGTTTAATTTGAAGGAATGGAATAAATCCTCGCTCTCTCTTTTATTTTCTCTGCAGGAAATAGTAAAGATGCGCTTGGATAGCTGGGGGACAGATTGTAAAAGCTTCATTAATCATATTAGGAATTTTGGACCTTATGTTAAGAGTAATGAGAGGTATCATTAAGTTTTCAGCAAGGAAGAATTATAACATATATGTCTTGGATTACACTTTGCTTTTGGATAGTTCATACAATATGTTTGTAAAATGAATAATTTCTAACTTTAATGATGTTGAATTAAGCATGAACATTATCACGGAGTATATACCTAAAAATAAATTCCAAGATTAACTGGCATTTTTCATTTCTTGTAAATCACAGACTGACATTTAAAACACATGTAGTTAGCAAGCTACATCTTCCTGAATGTCCACTTATTTTTACTCCCACCAGTTGGTTTGTGTGTGTGCCAAAAGTCAGTATATCTGTTCACAATGTTTTATTTTTTTATCAGTTCTACATGTTATAATAAATAGATGAAATATGAGTTAGACTCAAGTATATTTTTCTTATGAAAACTGAGTTTAGGGCCAGTTGGTGGCACAATGGTTAATGCAGGTGCATCCCACAGAGTCAACTGCACAGCTCTAGTCCTGGATCTGGAGGCCTAAAAAACACACCTGCCACATATGTGTGATGCCCAAAATACCAAAAGGAGGAAGAAGTGGAGAGAAGTGGTCATGTCATGACAATCCCCTATGAAGGGTTCTCTCTCTCTCTCTCTTTCTCCAGTGAGCACTTGCATCTTCTGGCTAATTTAACAAAGAAGAGAGGGACACTGGCAGATGGTGTAATAGTTACACCGTCAGACTCCCGTGTAGTCAACCGCAGTTCAAGTCCCAGATCCGGCATCTTAAAACTCACGCTGAGTGTGTGCGCACGCCCAGAATCCTGAGAGAAAAATGAAAGAGAAAGGATTGCAGCGTGGCCATACTCCCTGGGGTAGGGAGATTTCTTACTTTCCGTCTCTCTGTCTTTCCAATGAGTAAATGTGCACTATAGCAAAAATCTCTCTAAAAATTCAAAAACAAGGAAAAAAAAAAGAAAGAAAGGAAACTGAGTTTAATACTAAGAATATAAAAATATGCAAAAGTTTTGGGGAAAAATTGAACGTAGAAATACTTGGCACTTGATTACTTAAGAGACTTTAAGAACTCCTTCCACTTAAACTAAAACTGCAAATCGTATGGGTGCATTATAACTGCTTTATGACTTCAAACTCTAGGATGTGGTTAGATACTCAAAGAAAAATTCTTGGTCCTATATCAAAAAGATCGGTGAATGGATATACATTTACCTATTTTAAGGTAAAATAGGTAAGATATACTGTTTTTTATGTGTTTTGATGAACTCTTCTGGTTCACTGACTATTAGCCTTGATGGCATCAGATAACAGAGCTTTTGCAAAAATTGGTCATAAATATATCAGAGTTGGAGGGTTTAAAAACTATCTAAATGCTTCTGACTGACAGAACAGTTCTTTTTATAGTTCATAGTATTGAAAGATGTTGAGGGCCACCTTCTACTGGGGACCATGATTAGTGGCTTCGGCTCCAGGAGTCTGCTTCTAATATATTAAAGATGACTTGGCCACCACCAAACTGGATGACAGAAATTCTGGAAGGAATCTTTTCCTTCTGATCCTCCAGTCAGGTTTTTGGGGCATTTCCATTTTCTCCTTTCTTCTCTCTAGAAACAGAGGTAATGTGGAAGAGAACACAATGAAAACGGCTTGATGAGACTAATGAAGGCTACGTTCTGCTCAGGAGGCTCCTCCTCCCCATAGCTCCTGCTCACACAGGGGAAATGAAGCAGACAGAACAATGGTGTTCAGTGTGAGGAGCCTCACTTTGAAATCTGTTTTACGAATAATTACATTGCCCACATAATTTGTTTTTATATAAAAGATCACCAAAAGAGGGACCAGCCAGTGACACAATGGTAAAAGTACTGGACTCCCACATGGTGGGCCACTGTTCGAATCCTGAACCCAGTAGCTTGAAAATTATGGTGTGTGTGTGTGTGTGTGTGTGTGTGTGTGTGTCCATGCCCAAAATCCTAAGAGGATAATGAAGGAGAAGGGATTGTGGTGTGGCCATCCTCCCAGAAGGGTGCTTTCTCACTTTCCTCTGTCTCTCTCTGGCAAGTGCATGTGCCTTACGGTAAAAACCTAAAAAAAAAAAAAAAAAAAAAAAAAAATAACAAAAGATCAAGATGGTGGTAGAAGTTTCAAACATTGCAGAAAGATAAAGTCACACACTGTAGTGTAGCCTTGGGCCACACAAGCAGGCTCTCTGATCCATTCGCTAAATAGGAGGAGAGTTAATCTGTAGAGAAGTTCTGAGGATATAATGAAATAATGTATGTAAAATGCCTATTATTATTTTACTTCATAGTTATATAGGCATTATTTTCATACCAAAAATAATTTTCCACTACTGAGAAATTTATTGTTTTCCAGCAAATTGGAAATATTGGGAGCAACACATAAGAATGGTGAAGGGACACTGTTCAGTCAATCAGCTGATTAACCATGCTGGTAAATGGGATGATGTCATAGTCAGAAGACATCTACAGTGCTCCATGAGATGTCCCACAGGTACTTTTAATACAAAGAAACTAAAGCCAAACAAGCCAGGCCATCACTCTAGAATTAGTCCTTAATCTTGATAATGTCAAATGCACTCCCTTAAAAGCAATCTGGAAACCTGGGTGTCATACTGGACAACTCCTCCCACACACACACACCCCATCAGTCATCCCTGATGAGTCCATCCCTGTATTGAATCCCACACTCCTTTCCCCTCCTTTGCAGTCTCTCAGGCCTTTGGCATCTCCTCACAGGTTTTTGCAAACACCCCTAAACTGGCCTCCTCTCTTCCAGTCTACCCCTCTCCAGTCCATCTTCCATACTCAGAGCACAGTGATTGTTCTAAAATGTACAACTGGTGGTGAAGTTTCTTTCCTGATTAATTTCTTTCCTATCATCTGCAATGTAATTTCAATTTCCTTATACAGTTTCCAAGGTTATTATGGGAGTGTATGTAAAGTGCTCGAATGGTGCCGGTACACACTAAGTACTGAAGAACCTTTGCTATTATTTTTATTTTATTTTATTGCCAGACAAATCATGGATTCACCAGAGAGAGACAGAGACAGAAAGCATCCCCCAATGGGGTGTGACCATGTCACTATCCTTTCTCCATCCCTTCAGGATTTCAGGCACCTGAGCACATGTGCCCAGTCTGTTTTTCAAGCAACCAGACTAGGATTTGAACCTCTCATGGGGATGGGGTATCTGGCTCCCTTACCAGCCGAGCTACTGGCTGCCCAGCTAGTAGTATTTTTTGAGAGCTTGTCCCCACTTTCCCCTTCAGTCTAAGGACTGTCAACTGTTCTGTTAGAAACATGCTCACACTTTTCCAAGCACGGTGTCATATTGCACATCTCTAGGCTTTACACACACAGTTCCATCTTTTAGACATCTTGGTCACTTCTCTGTGAAATTCTTAGTCTTTCTGTCTCGCCTCCCCCAGTTTTGAATCCCTCCCATACACTAAATAGTTAATTTCTTACAATTCAGGACAACCTCTACACTGTAATGCTTTTCCAGGTGCAACCACCACATTGAACTAGAATTTTTTTATATGCCTCTCTCCCCTAACAGGTGGGAGCTCTTAGAATGCAGGCATTGTATTTTCTTATTCCAGCTACCTGACTAAATGCTGGCACATGTAAGCACCTAGTATTTAATAAAATACTTTTGAACAGATGAGAAGTGTAGGCTACAATTAGACAAAATGTAATTAAGAATATTTTATGATATAGAAGGAAATTCCCACTTGGGCAGAGAAAGGAAGTTTAGTCAAAATTTGGAAAGCTGAAGTTCAACTTCTCGCTCAGAACGATGGCCATGATGCAGGAAAGCCTCTGTGATGGAAACCCTGGCTGTCAAGGGTCTACTTTAACTAGTGCCACCGTATGTGTTGTAGCAGGGTAACTAACGGGTCACCTTCTCTTCTACGCTGGGACTGTTATTGCACTTTCTGCATATTTTCCCTTGGTAGAGACAAGGTTCTGGAGGTCTGCTAGCACTCCCCCACCCAAAGGCTCTCCCTTTCTCCTTTCTCTTCAGAGGCCTCCAGCCAGCATAGCACCCCCAGCCTCAGCCTCCACCAGTGAGTCTGGTGGCTGGGAGCCAGGTTCCAGGGACCCGGCTCGCCCCTCCCCGCGCGTCACGTGCTCGAGGATGCAACCCTCTCCCCCCCCCCCCTCCCCCTCACAGCCTCCTCCTCCCGGGGACG